CGCAGCATTATGGGCAACCTCTATAAGGGAACAAGAAGTGCCTGGATGTGGGAAGACCGGATCACTTTGAATGATTGTTAGTTGAGCTCGCTGCGCGCACGCTTGATATCTCACTTCTCTCTCTCTCTTTTAGTCTGCGGACGGGAAATGTCTCGTTGTTGGGGCTGACAGGAAATATGGGGTGAGACTATATCTTTAATTAAAACAAGGTAGTCTCTTAAATAAATCAACAACTAAACCAGAGCCTGCACCAGAATTTATTAGCCTATCTTCAACGTGTACGGCAAACTTTTTGATTTTACAATTACGCTGTCCTTACTGCGATTATTTCCAAGCCGGAAATAAATGTCTATAATACATCTATTATACAAAAGGCAACTAATGCTACATCGACGCATCTCACGATATATTCCGGTCGATTGTCCAATCGATGAAATTATTTGGCTTACGTAGCGCAGCGGGAATTACATAAAATTGACGCAAAAACGATTTATCACGAGACTGCTAGCGCCGATAAAAACGAATTGCGTCACGAAAGTGCGAGCTTTCGAACAATAAGACTCTTGGAAATAACTGAACTTTGCAAAAAAATGTATGCGAGGCGCCGTCGATCGATTCTCAAAAATGCGTATCAATTTGTTACAGTGATACAGAGAATAGTTGTGCGCGGTTATACATACATTTGACGTCACGCCTAGCCAGTTTCGATGCGCAAATAAATAAACGGTCTCGCGCGCGCGCTCGCTGACCCGCTATACGTATACATGTAGGAAAAGATCGCATAGGAGTCGGTGGTGTTGGTGTAGGACGCTATAAATTTATTATAACGTGTACGTGTGAAAAAAAGGCGAAACAATCGGCATTACGAAGAATCGCTTCTCAACGTCGAGTCGTACGGGATATGAAAAATCGGCTTGTAGCGGGCTTAGCTCGAAGAAAGAAAGGAGCGGATTAACGTAGCTCTTGCATACGAGTAATTCGACAACTGTGTACGCTCACATTTTGATATTTCCGTCGGCAGTGGGCCTACTCGATAACCGAGGGCTTGCGCAACTGCTGGACAATAGAGATTCACGTTGACCTTAAGAATTGGGCTCTCACGAGCGTATACGAAGTAAAAAAAAGGTTCTCGCGCGCGCGCGACTCGATATTCATAATACAAGATGCGGTTTTTCCTTTATACAGTACTTTACTCGCAAGGTATAAAGGCACATTTTATTGCTCGCGCCCATGCAGTACCCATGCGATATATATAATGCGGAGTGTAGCTGCGAGAAGGAATATACGAGCAGGCGGCAGATACATATCCGGATGCAGGACTTATTGCGCATAAATATGTGTATAAATGTGTGAGTATATATTGTACGCGCGGCTCGTATATGATTCAGGGTTAATGAATTCCGATCGGAACGCCGCGCGGACTATGATTCGAAAGTGTGCGCGTAAGTAAGTAAGTATGTGTGTGTGTGTGTGTGTGCGTGGGTAAACAAACATATCGCTATTAATATAATAGCCGGACGACCAAGAGTATAGGGGCTGGCATACACACGGTGCATTATTATATATATTTGGACGCGACGTTGTCTCTGATTCGAAATCGGAGCGCGCTCACAAGTTTCTCTGCTGCCTCTTTCATGCTCCTGCTGCTGGCTGCTGCTGTTTGTGCGCGCACTCGAGGCACACGTATATTATACAGTGTCGTGGCCTTGACAAAAAATACCGATTCGCCACACGTATCTACCGATCTCGGCGAAATAAATAAAATCTCGTGGCTCTGGCGCGGATTTTCGAATTCGCGATAAAAGTGCGTCGTTTTTCGCTGACGCGCGAGGACGCGCGTGTCGTATGCGCTCGGACGAAAATCTATATGGGTAGCACAGTACTGGACGCGGGGCTTGGGATCGCAGTCGGGTCGCGGCACGTGCGCATGCATATATTATGCAGCCTGTGTATATATAGTTGAGCTCGTCGAGTAGCCGCGCACAGCCTCTGCTGCTCGGGCGCGATCGAGCGCAACGATATAGCTCAAAACTCGGCCTCCCCTATACACGCTGTCGTATTATAATACACAACTTTATTATAATATATATGTCGTTGCTACATATGCGTCGTGCGACGTACACAGTACGTATACCTGCGACGCGCACCTCAAATATATATACGACGATGTGCTTGTGTGCATATATTTACGATCTTTAATTGATTATGGCGCGGCTTTACAGCATGCGAGCGCGAACACGTGCATTGGACACGTGCGTTGAAACATTATAAAACGTGATATAGTTGCGCGCTTAGAAAAGATAATCGTGGATGCCGAGCCGAGTGCGAAGAGGAGTGCCCACGAGCCAGGACTGTTACATGTATAATACGTATTCTCTGGCATTCTGACGAGCTGTTCGCGTGCCTGCTCCACGACATCTAGTTACATTTCCATTGACGAATGCAGCCAACGACAACTTACAGCTTTTACGATGCCGCTAGTGATCTGACTTCGACTGTCTTCGCGACTAAATTTCAGGGCAGGCCATTGCAGTTTTTCGTGTTTCTTTACAAAACCGGACACAGCTAACGATATCCGAAATTGTCCAAGTTTACGTTCTCTTCGTGCGAATAAAGTCATTTCCGTGCAAGCAACGACTTGTATCGACAAATGTCTCGTGCTAAGCAATCGGCCCTTGTCGCGATCGTATCTTTTTCGAAGCTGTTTCACTTGCATAATTTGCACCGGCTCGAGCCATACTCGACCTATCGAAATGTCGTTTCGATATAGCTTATTATACATGCGTATACACGTGTAGCACAGCCCGTATGCGTGTACCTAATTTGTGTATACGTATATGTAATTAGGATGATGTTGACAGCTTGTAATGAGGCTTCTTCTTCTCTTCCTTCTTCTTTTTCGTTCGCGTTCTTGGCCGTACATGTAGGCTTTTACTTAGCTGCTCGATCGGCTCGATTGAATTTTTCACGGCTTTAATCCTCGAGTATTTACAAGCACTTGTCGGAAGAGGCACTTTGATGGAGAAAGAGAGCGAGAAACTCGAGAGATCTGGTTTCTTCGAGAGCTGCCTCGTGGCTCGAGCTTTCCGAAGCTCAATGAGCGAGCGACGAATGAGCCCGTAATGACTTTCGCCGCGATCATTTGTTTTTCCCAGCTGTGTGTCGTAACGAAGCTTTTGTCGTCTAGGCGCGATAACATGATTAACGTGCTAGCAACGTCGTTTGAAACTGCACATCTTTCTAATTGAGTGGTATCTCGATGAAAAATGATTTCGCGTAAACTCGGAAAAGCACCGATTGGGAGAGTCTGATAGTCGCTATTGCACTTTTACGGTATCGTTAATGTTATGTAGGCTCGGCTGCACAGAGTCCACTAAGCATTAATTGTAAGAATCGCGAGCTATATTACGATGACAAAGATCGCAGATGTAGGAGCGCGAAAGAAAAGTGCGCGTGGATCGGCCGCAACAGCGGAGCATTATCCTTGACGATCTCGCGTAACTTGTCGCGGCGGAGCGCGGCGTAAAGCGCAATTCACGCACGCGATAACGTGCATCGATACACGTGACACGTCCAGTTATTCCGCGCGCAGTTCTCTATACGCCTCGAGTCAGCTAATGCATACGTCAATGTTACACCCGAGCTTATTACGATCTGTATCGATACGATGTACTGTACGGGGGTCTATCGATCGTGTCACTGGCTCGTACCGATATTTACCGGGCCCTAATCCGTCGATTCGTGCGGAAATGCATGGATGCGATCGACAAGTTAATCGATCGATGCCTCTAAAACTCGTCGCTCCAAGAGGACGGATGGGATCTCGGTACGTTTTCGCGTTTGGCCCATAATACTCGCGTTGGCTTTTGAGGAATTTTAAGGTCGCCCGTACATTATATTCACGGGCCTGCGTGTAGCGCGAGAATCGAGATGAACACACGTGTATATGATACAACCGCGTTGACCTTATTTCGAGCTCTCAAGTAGGGCTTTTTCCTTATCCTTTCGGTGAATCGGCCGAGCTCGCTCGCTTTATGGCGCGCCGCGGATATTATACACACCGTATGTATACGTGTTTGCATGTAACGGTCTGACGATGATTGCACATTACACGGGCCCCGAGGAGCCGTGCGAAAGACTCTTTTTTTTCTCGCCAAAATTATTAATGCGTTATACCAACATAGCTATAATATATATTAGCTCTATATGTATCCGTGTAATAAGTGTATCTTTTCTACGGAGCTGCGAAAGCTCGATGAACGTTTTGGCGGAAATGGGGGAGGATTTGTGCCAGCCGATCATCATCGCTACTATTGCAATTACACTTTTTCTCTCGCACACGCAGTCGCTTATGCTAAACAGTCGCTCGCTCGCGCTGTGTTGAATCACGATACGATCGCACGTCCTGCCAATCACCATAAGTAGCTACGCGCGTAAATAATTTCCTCAAACGAGTGACCTAGTTGTGACGAGTTGGGTGGGAGTCACTACGTAAAGTCATCCCATTCAAGGGTAAACCCGTACCTTACCACTAGCACATTTTTTTATTAACTAATGTAAAGACGTAAATATATTTCATCGAAGCATACAGGAAAACATGCCAAGAGATGTTTAATCCTTTACGAAAGTCGTGCGTACGAGAAAATGGATTTGAATAAACGCGTATCGTAAAACACTAAAAGTTTGAATAGAAATATCGCGATGACGGCTGCTACTGCAATCCGACATAATATATTTATCACGACACTGTGGGCATAGGCACTTATTGCTCTTGCAGCGAAGCGGACTTTTATGTAGGATATACGTACGATATGGGTATTTTCCCATTTTTATATTTATTTATCCCCCCCGCTAAATAGATGTTCGCACATCCGAAGGGTTGAGCGAACAAATCCTACACGAATTATTAAATTAGAAAGTGACCGAGCGAAAGATTAATATTGGAAAATGAAAAGCGAGAGAACTTATATTGGATCAATTTATGCACGAATAGTACTCACCGTTGCGACAAGCGTGACGTGCCATCGGAGAAAAAATCTGGGGTTCGCCATAACTTCCCTTGCGCTGTTTCGTCGTTGCCCGCACACAGTTGTTAGCAGCAGCCGAGCATCGCTGCACACGCTACGTGCAGCCGCGAGGTAGGTGCGAGACTCCGTGGGGCTGCAATCCGTGAAAGGTCTTCCGCACACAGGACGAAAATGTCACGGAACGTCGAAAAAATCGGAACGAGCGAATCGGATCGGTCGTGGCCTCGGAGGGGGCCAGTCCTCCAGGCTAGGCGTAGCTCGACTATTATTATTAATAATAATATGGCACAACGAAGCTAAAATCGATCCGGTACAGACAGAAGAAGAAGAGGTACTAAGCGGATCGTCGGAGTGATGACGGAGTCGTGCGTGTCTCCGCGCGGGGATGAGGATACAATATCGGGTGCGATCGGTCCTAACCGTAGCACAGGGCACGGGCAACTGACAGCGGGTCAAGCTCCGCACGCGCTACGCTCTCTCTCTCTCGAGCAAGAGCAGCAGCATAACACACGCGTATATGCCGCGGCTGCTGCAGGAGAGACCGACCCGCGCCGCTCTCCTCTCCTCCGTACAGCAGTGCCGCTGTACCGCGCTCAGCTGATAGCACCCGCCTATATAATATCCCAGGCTCTCTTTCTCTCTCTCTCTCTTTCTCGAGCCTCGCGCGTATGTATGTATAACCACATGTCCGCGCGCCTATATATCTCTGTGTGTGCGTTGTATGCACGTATACGCGACGCACATTGGTGTACGTGCGCGAGCTGGTGGATATACGGGCTCCGATCGAGTCATAATCCTACGTTATGCCATTGTGTGTGATGTACCATAGGTGCATTCGGCGCACACGTGTGCTACTGCGACTCCCACTCAAAAGTTGGACTTCCATGCACCCGAGACAGCTCCAATGCCGGCTACCTGTGCTCGCGTTGCACCTCACGTGTTAGACGAACCATTCGTTACCCCTCTTTGACGGCTCCTCTGCTTGTTCATCGGCTAAATTTACATCGATAAAAATTCATCTTTTTCTCGATCCGAAGCGCAGCTAACACTAATCAAGAAATTCCTGCTTCTATGCTTTCGAGTTTGGTAACCGATTTACGACCGATTTCTGTCTTGCAGCTGCACCTATCGATCGGAGTGCATTCATAATATCCACATTTTCTTCAAGAGCAAGTCTGATATATTGTGACGTATGCACGACACAAATGACCGAATACAACAGATGCGTTGCAAAAAAGTTGCTCTTTTTTTCGTTAGAAGACATACCAGTGAGCATCGAATGTCTTGACTGACTTGGTAACAGTTATAAGGGTTCTAACCCTATTTTCTATCAATAATCAATATAAAAAATTTTTAAGTTGGCTGAATGAATTGAACACCATCAATAGAAATATATTATTCAAATACTGATATCAAATTTTAATGCGACATTAAAAATAAATTTAAAATTGACTTTTATAAAGCCCACGAAAACATATGTAATACATCTATGAGTTGGAATTATTTTGTCTCTTGCATTTGTTTAGTCCAGGCATGACGTAATACTCAATCTCTCCAATATACACATCGATGTTTTGTATTTATTTCATTTAAAGAGCCAATACATAAAAGAGCGTGGTATACAGACGTGGACTTATGGGATCGTGCGTTCGTATACGCGTTGACGCGTGTAAAATTAATATATTCTGCAATGCATCGGGTACGCGAAAAACATTAATCTTCGGATCAGGCGCACATTTCGATACTTCATCTGTATGTACTTTATACAGTATATGTAAATGTCGCCGTTTGGCTAGCTTATACTGAACCGTGATACAATGTTTTTTTTAAATCAAAACCAAAGTCGAACGTCGAAAAAAGAGGGAATAAAAATTGATTACTTAACCGATAATAAATCGATTTACAGGACCGATTAATTTCGAAGCATGTCGCACCTCTATACTGATGTAGCATCTACGGGACACAATGCGACCTTCACACTACGATGCTACATTATAATTGCTTGTAACTTTGCAAGAGATTCGATACTTTATGTAGCAGGTACAGGCATTGTATTGTACTGCGGAGATCTTTATTGATTTGGCGATTCATCCTACTAGTACCAGATAGTAATTTTTATGCTGTCACAAAGCAAACATGATTTATAATGAGACGACATTCCAATGAGTAGACGCGAGCTTAAAAATTCAATCGAGCGAATTACCTTAAACGTGTCCTTTTGTTAATCCGCATAAGAATGCCGCTGACAAATTCAGAATGTCCACTTGTGCACGGGAGACACGAAATAAGCCCAAAAAACAATGGCTCGCGTGCGTTCGTATAATATACCGGGAAGATTATTTGGATTTTTCCCTTAGCAATGGTCGTCGAACGCGTAAATATAGAATTTGAGGTACACGCGGCTTCATAAATCAAAGTAATAAGCGCGCGCATATAACGCGCGTTGAAAAGAAAGAAAACAAGAGGCGAGGATCGCGGCCGCCACTGCAGTCGGACGTGTTCCTTCGAGAGTCCGAAGGTAATTATTTATTTTTTCAGCAAGTACGGCGATGGCGATTTGCATATCGATATGTAGACGCGCTCGTTCCGTCTCGCTCCCGTATACTGGAGGCGTAATTTTCGCGACGCGAGCCGCAGTTGATTCACGAGTACACAAGTACGCGAGTATACAGTCCTGCAGAAAAAAGGACAACAATGTGTTTCGAGAAGAGAAAGAAGAAAAATGATAATACGTATGACATATAATATGGATGCTTTTGGACTGCGGTCGTGTAGCAGTGTGCGTATTCCGTAGGTCGGGAGGTATCGGCCAGTAATACTTGTACGTATACGCGTACGCAGATTGTGCAACGGCGCGTAAATTCGAGCCTCGGCAAGCGATATATGTATTTAATAAGCGTATAAACGCGCGCCTCGCGAGACCCCCCCGTGCACACACCGCTGCAGCATACACGTGAGAAAAAGGAGTGCTATAGGCATTATAGCGCGCGCGCGCGAATCCGACCTTGTGCCGCTGTGTACTGCGCGTAGGAGAGCGTGAAAGCCTTTCTCACGTGCTGCTGCCGTTCGATGTGCCTTTCATGCTTAAGGTGGTGGTGGTGGTTCTCGGCGCCGCGGCCGATCGCGACACATAGCTCCATGTATACAGTATAACAAGTACGCGCGTACTTGGCGTCGGCGGGGTATACGCAACGAGCCAGCCCGAGAGACCGCAAGTGGCGCGCGGCTATATAATACGTACGTATACATATACTCGCGGCTGGCGACGATCAAGGTCGGCGCGCGGCGCTTCCAATACCTATCGTTTACGATCGCCAACTGCACACCTACTATATATACCTGCTGTATACGTGATCGGTGTATAGCTTTTGCTTGGCCCGACTCGCGCGGCTCGCTTGTATTTTTATACATAGAGAACGAGTTTAACGCAGTCGCGCCTCATCGCAATTTCATCAACGCGAGACAACAATTTTCACCTTGATCTTGACGCTTTGTGTACGATCGCTTTCGAGCCCTACTCGATGTGCGAGAGCTTTTGCAGCCCACTATAAACAGTTATCGACTGCGATTAAAAAGCGTCAACGACTCGTCGCCTGCATATCGATCGATTTGTTATAGCGCCTACGCAACGCTACGATAACGCGTCGATACGTAGCTATAACTGCGCTAGCCGTGACGTGACGCAGCCGTCCACTTTTTATCGTAAAAAATGTCAAATTCTTTAAGGCAGAGCCCGATCGGCTCCGTTCGACGACTAAGACGACTACAGCGTGACAATAAACCTGTAAAGCTTGTAAATTGCCTCGTCTTGTGTACGCGCATAAACACACGTAAATCGACGAGCGCCATCGCATCGTATTTAAGCATTCTTGACTTTTTGCGTCAGAGCCGGCCGGAGCTGCCCCGGCGTCCGGGCAATTTTCTCTTTATTCGCACTTTTGCTCGGGCCTTGCAGTCGTGCATATGCGACTAGTTATATCGCGCACAGTTGCCCACTAATATGAAAACTCGCTTTTCACTCGAGCGACACTTGACTTTTGAGGACTTCGCTCGAGAAACGTATAACTGCCTTTTGACGCAGCACTTTGTACATAAGGATGCATCTCTGTCGCACTCGAGTTCCCGGAATTTCGCTCGTGGATAAGAAATGAATCACAGCTGGAAAAGTCGCGCGACCACTGACCACGTCTATACGCGTAGCGGATGCTGCATCAGCATCAGCGAGAGAGAGAGAGAGCGGATAACGGATATTGCGCCGAGGACCTTCACTCGATTGCCTTACCGATCAACCGTACCGGTCAAAAGTATACAGGCAGCTGCACATTTAATTTCATTGAGAAAATCATTTCAAGTACGCGGCGAGTCGATACACGTTGGCTCGGTATAACGAGCTTACAATAGCTTTGATTTAATTCCGACCAAATTATACGAGAGCTCGATTTTGTACTCTGACAAAAAATTCGAACCACGCCTTGTGCTACAAAGAAATGCCTGATCGACTTTTTGTAGACTTATTTTTTTCACCTTCCAGTTTATATATTGATTTCAAAAGAGAAAACGCTTGTATTTCAAAAACATCGAAACTCATTTAAAGGATTAAAGAGGGTTCAAACTCGAAAACAATTTTTATTCAATTTTTGAAAAGGATCTTCATTACCCTTTCTATTGCACTTTAAAAATGGGGTAGGGTGGCCTATGTATCCGAGGTCTTCTCCACAAACACCTGCAGCCGGATGTTACAACTATATTCATTCGCTTTGAATATTACGATGGATGAAAAAAAAACCAGTGTCAGAAGAAGCAAAATAAGAAAAAATTTAGCATGCAAAGTAAAGGAAAGAGGCTCGCGAGAACAGTTGTATATCAATGAAAAATAAAACATTTGCAATTTAAATTAAAGGACCATGGAACAAGGCAAAAATCCTTTCCAAAAATTGCATAAAATTGTCTTTGATTTCGCGGCCCTTTGCGACCTCAATTCAGTGATGCTCGTTGCGCCAACGCACTTGTCAAAGTACTCACGCACCAATTAGCATACTTCGGATAAAATATATTTACTTTATGAATGATAACTGGATCGTTGGATCTCTGGCAGCCGAAACCTTTTGCGGCATGTCTCGTCGATTAACTCCATTCTCGGCGACGTCGACTGAATATAGGTGCTCTCTCCTATTCCTATCCTTACTTGGGATTCGGAGGATCAAGCAAATGTATCGTGAAATAAGTACCCGCTCGATGCCGATATTGCCGATGCCTTGCGCGGACGCGCATAGCACAGTATATAAAGTACGTGCTGCAGTATAGACATTAGCCGTTCGCGGCCTTAAGGTCACGAGCGAATGCATTACTCGATCTCTTTGTCAAGGAGAAAGAGTAAGAGACTCGATCGGTTGTGCGAGCTGTGCACTTACTCGAGAGCTTATCGGAAGCCGCAGCGCACGCACGTGCTCGCACGGCAACTTTTAGCGGAATCCGCGTGCTGCATCTTACACGCATCCATCCAAAAATCCACTCAGTCAGTTTTACTTTCGTCGTTTCCTATGTATCGCGATGTCGCTCCTCGTCAGCGTTGTCATCTTTTTTTTCGAGTACATTATCATAAATGACGAACGACAATTTGATTATTAATGAGACTCCTCTCCCTCCCTCCCCCCGTTCTTATACTTATTTTTCATCGGGATACCAAGTGTCAGGATTATATTCGAATTCACTGCGATGAGTTATCACCGCGACACGACCGATATTAAACGCATTTACATCCTTGACATTCAGGCGTGGATCTTTTGTAAAATACAAATTCAAGTTCGCGCGCGACGCGATCGGATGTTTTTATGCCAACTTGCCTCTCGCGCTTGGCGCATCGAAAGCAAGTTTTTCTTCCACGATCAGCGCGTTTATGCGAAATTCTTGCGCGTTTGCCCTTGTTCCAACGAGGCAACATGCCGAAATTTTGTAAAAAAAAAAACATTAGCGCAGAGGCGCATACCATCTTTTTTTTCTTTTCCAATGCACTCTCTTTTCTTTTATTTTCTTTGCTTTCGTTCTTTTCTTTTTTTTTCTGCTGGTGCCGGGAGTAGCCAGAGGTGGCGCCGACTCTTCGTCATTTAAATCGCTAAAATACTTATAATGTAAAAAATAAATAAATGAAAAATGTGCTACAATCGACTACATGTCGTCGAACTCGTTCGATGCTTATAAGTGTTCATTCGAATACTAGAGAAACGGATACTGATAATATGATTATCCTCAATATTTTTTTCTTTGAATATCTTGCATCGTTGACTTGAATGATCAGATCATCGTAATAAATTGTTCAACAATTTTGTTTTATTACATTTTACTAACGTAAATATTCGATACATTCATAAAAAATATTTCTTTGAAAAAATATTATCAAGTATTCAACTAAAAATGATGGGGTAATCATTAATTTTAGCTATAAGTTACATTGATGTTTCTTGTCCTGCTTTGGCTGTGTTCTGTTTCAATCAAGTTATAAGACAGATCCTTTTGACATTTTTTAAAATTGAAGAACATTCTAAATTTTTATCTGATAAATTATGATAAACAAACAATAAGTGTTCAATTATGAAACTGATTTAGTTTTTAGCTAGTTTACTAGTTTAGAAAAAAAACACTCATATTTGATTTGACACTTATATTAAATAAAAGCACTCACATTTGGGATTTATTTTATAATGATTAATTTTTGGCAAAGATCGAAATGAGAGACTAAAATGAAAATATTTTGATTATAAGTATTATAATCAACAATATGCTTTTATATATTTATACATAATCTACTCTTAAAAAATTAAATTAAAAAATTTAGGTAGATAAAGTTACTCAAGATATCTAATTTAAATTAAAATCAATGTTTTAGCATAGTCTTGCATTATACTTGCAACTTGAGTAATATTGTATAGAGCTAACTTATATTTCAGATAATATAAATCATTAATGAAATTAGTAAAAGGTTTTCAATAAAACTGACTAAATAAGAATGAATTTATAATAATTTAAGTAATATTATAGATTAGTTATTAGTTCAGTGATTATTTTTCCATCATCATGATATCCATTTTCTAGCATTTGGCAAAAATATCATAATTTATTTATTTTAACAAGTTTTTAATATATATTTAATGTTTAATGTTTTTTAATGTTTATATTCCATAAAAAAGATAAAAATTTTGTTTATATTAATAGATTGATTAAATGCCACAGTAATAGATAAAATTTAATTCTCTTTATGTACTTTATTGCATTGGAATTGTTCATTGTATAGGAAAAAACAATTTGCATAATCTACTTCAAAAAAATCTTTTACTGCAATTTAAAATACATACATTTTACTAGAATCTTGACAATTTAAAAAAAAAAGTTTGTCAACAAACTTGAAACTCTGAATAATTGGCTAACAGCTTTGAAAGTTTATGATTTATTTATCATTTTCATAATCTTTTGGGTTCTTCCTTGAAACCTCTTCATTCTTGGCTTCAGCCCAGTCAACAAGCAGGTATGTTCCAATAGCCCCTGCAAATAAATATTTAAACAATAGAAGAATTAATATAACTGCAATAAAATGAAAAAAAAAATTTCATCAAAATCTGTAAAAACTTACAGGGAGCAATCAAGAAAACAGATTCTCTGAATCTGCGAATCATGTTGGGAACTCCATGACTGATGATCCCATGCAGGGGGTTCATTTCATGTGGACTTAGTCTGTAGTAGACAATTCGGCGAAGTTTCGCCAAGTTACCGAAATCACTATGCATCTTGAGGCTGTCTGTAAAAAAAAAGTTTGTTATTAAAATGGGTTTCTAACCAAGAAACGTCAAAGTCACTGGTAAACTCGAAATGTTTTTGAGCATGATGTTTTTCAGTCTGACAATGAAATTGTTTATGAAATAGTAATTTAACATGATAAAAAAGCAACATTAAAACAATTTTACAAACAGAAATATAATATTACGTAAGATTCAACAATTTCACTCACTTTGAGATAGAGAACGATGCAGACGACTAAAGTCAGGCGTAAACTATCAAGAATACGTAGATGACAGCGCCCCCAAACTTGCGCAGATGAGATGGATCGATTCGAGAGGAAAACAGATATTTTTAAGGTTCGTTTACAAAGCAACTTTTTACACTAAAAAATGTATGATAAAATTAAACTTGCGATAAGTTTATTTTCATATCAATAGTTCGATTTTCAAATTTTATATCTAAAGCAATAAAACTATCAATGAAAACATGTCTATTTAAAAAAAAATACTCGAGTGATTATAAAATTGTCCATTATATTGTGTTTACGTGAATCATAAGTCAAACTCCATCGTTGTTTTGATTCTACATGACCAATGATAAGCCGACTGTCTAGAAAGATCTCGCACCAAAAGCGTCTATTATAGTTGAGCGAAATTTAAATATTATAGTCAAAATTGTAGAAGCTATCATGACGGTGCATTCAAAAGATTTACTTAGCGAATTGAATTGTCAATTTGGTTTTCTTAATATTTTGCCACGTAATTTCAATGGGAATAATGGAAAAATTAATAGATATACGAATTCGTGCGATAAGAGATAAGCGACATAAAAATTAAATCGAAGCATTAAAGTGATGGGCCAGGTGATATATTCTACATACATTAGATGTTAGACGCTAACGAGAAAAAAATTGCCAAAAAATACGAGCGAAGAGCATCGATTACGTGGAACGACGATCATACGGGTTCCCGCGTGAACTTGGCGTGTGACGCGTTGGCATTTGGCAGTCGACATGGCCCGCTCGTATTTTTGTATACACATGAAGACGCGGTAGAACGGCAGAACACAGTCGCGTTGTCCCTAGATTTCTATGAAACTCGATAGCCGCACGCCGACGCTCGGGCCTGCCCAATGGCGTCTGCTACGACGACTTGTCGTCAGCAGCGAAAGTGGCGCGGCGTACGACCAATCGTCCAAGTTGTGGGAGTGCAGCCTGCAGGACAGAGCGCAATTTAGCCGCGGCGAACATTCTATAACCTTAAGCGAGCAAGTTGTATATACACAAGCTCAAGCGGACGCAAGCCTGCAACATCGAACATAACAGAGAAGTGCAGAGGTGTGCAGAAAGAGAAGGAGATATAGAGGCGCGCGAGCTGGACTGACATGGTCGCTTTCTGCATCGACTGAGAGAGTCAAGAGAGAGAGAGAGAGAGAGCAAACTGCGATTACTGCGAAGGCTCGTAGAGCAGCAGCATAATACAATAGATTGACTCGTATAAGGCTCGTTGTCGCAGCCGTCATCGCGAATCGCGTTCCGCTTACAACCATACATGTTATTATACAAAGCAAGTGAGACGGGCGGGCTTTAAATACAAACAACGAGGGACTCTATCCTAAAAACACGAATAGCGGAATAGAACCGATCGGATTGATAATAACTTTCACGGGCCGCAGACACAATCAGTGCGCGTTCAAAGTTTTATCATGCTTTCATCGGCCGATTAAATACATCGAAGCGCCCCGATCGTGCATTAGCGATATACGACAGCTACGACCGACTGCTACGAGCATCGTAATACATATACACTATACAGTGCTTCGAAGGTTATGTGCGCTCCTGCGAACTTTGCCGCTGCTGCTACAATCGCGCGAGTACATCGGGCCAACAGCAGCGGGTTGTGAGTTGCGCGGCTGAAAGAACGTTGCAACTTTTGCATATATAGTGTCGTATCGAGCATCCAACGGAGGTGACGGAACCTCGGACGTCGACGTTGGCTAGCCCAGCCGCGAGTGCTCGAAGAGGAAAAAAACGCCGAACGCGTTGTTGAAAATCGCGGACGACGCACGTCGTGCCTGCATATACGCGCATATACAAAGCCATCGTCGTCGTGTGTACAGCTTTCTTCTTTGGCCGTCGCGCGATTCTCTTCTAACGCAAACGCGCCGCCTGCCTCGCGCTGTTGCGGATTGTTTGTGTGCGTGTGCGCCCCCTCTATATATACACAAAGTCGTGTTCGGCGATCGCGCTCTGCGCGTCGAGTCTGTACACTAAGCTCGCGGTACGTACTGTGTAGACTGTGTACACCTCTACAGTCTCTTTACGCCATTATAGGACTTTTCTTCACTGGCGACTCGAGAGTTCCCGAATTTCGCCTAGGTACGATCGCGAGGCCGAAATTTTTACTAGTGCGCGCCGACTACGAACGCAACTGCGCCCAGTACTTTTGTTTATATTCTCGACTCAATCGTCCCAACAGTGATGGGCATGGGCTCAGTAAATTCGCGGAGAGCCCGTGTCCTCGAATTGTCATTATCATCGTATGATAATGATTGTGTGAAATGCGTCTGCAAGTAATACGAAGCCGCTGAGCATAGTCTTGCATCGTCTATCGCGACAGAGAAAATTTCGCCCAACCGAAAGTTGCAACAGTGACAGAAGAAGAAGAAGAACGAACGAAGGAACGACAAGAAGCAGCAATAAAAACAGAGGCAGCAGCTCCTCTAAACGCTTGTGTTGTGTGGCGCGGCGGTGTTTATATAGGGGAGACAGAGCGGCTCGTCGTAATAACCGTATACATACATTTATTACTAGCCGTTAATCCCTCGCGTGCGATTCTGTAAAAGTGAGTAGTGTGCTCGCGACGCAGAGCAACATAGCATAAGCAACTAGCCGAGTATCGCGGATTCAGTAGCGCGCGACGCAGGCTCAGATCAACAACAATCATGGCGGCCCCCGTGCTCAAGTGGAGGCGTATACAGACTCCGTCGGGACCGCAACCTAGGCCTCGGCACGGCCACCGAGCCGTGGCCATCCGAGATCTTATGGTGGTCTTCGGAGGCGGCAATGAGGGCATCGTCGACGAGCTGCACGTCTACAACACCGGTGAGTGATCCCCGCATTTTTCCGCTGCTTTTCCAACGGAGAGAAACGTGTCATAAACACTGTAGCAGCAGCAGCGCTACCACACTCTCACGCATACAGCTGATTCTTTTGTATACGTACGCGTGTGAGTGTGTGTTTGTGCGCGTGTCTCTGCGTGTGTGTGCGTGCCCGTTCCGTACCGTACGACCGACCGACTGACGACTCCGTTCGCGTGTACGCGCGCCCATCGTCACTCGCTGCCTAGTGTCGCCGAGATACGTGCTACGCCGAGCCCGCATCTGGCGTTCTGTTCGCGTACGCAATACACCTTATCCCCGTGCAGCAGTCGTATAGAACCACGCGCGCAAACGCCAATATGGCCGCTCGCAGTCGAGAGTCGCGGAATCCCTACTGCTACGCGCAGCCCGTGCAGCCGGTATCTGCACTTCGCCGCCATTTTTATTATTGTGTGTATTTTCGTGCTTGTACGTTATACACACACACACGCGCGCGCATGCAAGCCGAGCACTTGCTTCCATGTCATATGTTGGCCTCGTTCCATATATTTGGCCGAGGCAAGATCGTTGCGCGATCGGCCAAAACCGACTGGAAGCTCGAGCGAGCCACTAATTCACCAGATACTCTAGTTTCTCGTAATTTTTATCTCAAATATCATGTCAATGACTTTTTGCCAACGACGCGGTTATGAATTCGCCAGAACTGATAAGAGGGAAACGCGCGTTGCCACCAACGCGGGAGCAGCCATAATGCGTGCGCGAGTCAGCGACGAACCGGCGCGGGGGCGGTGGCGCTCTCGGCCTCAGCCATCGTTGTTTTTGTTTATTTTATATGTATGCTCCCCCACTGGACAGATTATGAAAATATGACAGAAATTATGAATGCTTATTTTTTTTTCTTCTTTTTTACAGCGTCAAATCAGTGGTTCGTTCCTGCTACAAAAGGGGACATTCCACCAGGATGCGCCGCTTACGGCTTTGTCGTGGATGGCACCAGAATTCTCGTCTTCGGAGGCATGGTCGAATATGGCAAATATTCTAATGAGCTGTATGAACTGCAAGCCAGTCGCTGGGAATGGAGGAAGCTAAAACCAAGACCACCAAAATATGATCCACTTCCATGCCCAAGATTAGGACACAGCTTTACCCTCATTGGCAACAAAGTCTTTCTTTTTGGAGGCCTTGCCAATGACAGCGAAGATCCTAAAAATAATATACCACGATATTTAAATGATTTGTATACTCTGGAATTACTCCCTAGTGGTTTGACCGCCTGGGACGTTCCTGCCACTCATGGTCCTGCTCCTCCTCCCAGAGAATCTCATACAGGTGTAGCATATACAGACAAAACCACTGGAAAATCTTGTTTAGTAATTTATGGTGGTATGAGTGGGTGCCGTCTAGGAGATTTATGGTTTTTAGACATTGATACTATGAGCTGGAACAAACCAATGGTTCACGGACCAACTCCTCTCCCACGATCTTTGCATACTGCTACTCTTATTGGTCATAAAATGTTTGTTTTTGGAGGGTGGGTTCCTTTAGTCATCGATGAAGTAAAACTTGCCAGCCATGAAAAAGAATGGAAGTGTACTAGTAGCTTAGCTTCTTTAAATTTAGGTAATTTCCGTTTATCAAATTAACATTATGATGAATGTACTAATGATAATTTACTTTTATTAGAAACTCTTACATGGGAACAGTTACAAGTTGATGTCTCAGAAGAAAATGTGCCAAGAGCCCGTGCTGGACATTGTGCTGTAGGCATTCACAACCGCCTTTACATTTGGTCTGGTCGTGATGGTTATCGCAAAGCATGGAATAATCAGGTGAGATCAGTAGTTTATTACACAATAAACTCTAAAATTTACATCATTTTCATAATTAAAAAAATTTAACATCAATATTCATTGCAGGTGTGTTGCAAAGATTTATGGTATTTGGAAGTTAGTAAGCCTAATGCACCATCTCGAGCCCATTTAATCAAAGCAGCAATCAGGTCGCTGGATGTTACTTGGTGTCCAATTCCATCTGCTACACACTATATTCTTCAAATACAAAAATTCGACGTGCCATCATCCAGTGCTGCACCCACTACTCCTGCAGCAATTCCAACTTCCACTACAACTGCACCTATTTCAAATGCTACAACTCCAACATCGGCAGCTTTGCCATCTATTGCCTCAGCAGCTTCAAACCCAGTAACTAAAACACCAATCCCATCTACTCCCAGTCCAGTTCGTGTTCAGTCAAATACTCCAAAAATAGCATCAGGATCACCTGCTTCTGTTGCTTTGGCTGCAAAGCAAATATCTGGAAGTCCAACACCTGTACGAACTTTATCAGCTGCGAATGTTGTACGTATCCAATCGCCAAATTCCACTCTTCAAGGAACCATTGTGACCACGACTTCTCCAGCTACTACTATAGCTAGTACAGCCATATCAACAACAACAACTACAACATCTTCTGGCATGTCAGGTATGGCAGCTCTTGCAGCTGCAGCAATGACTCACAAGATTAATATGAATAATGTGCAAGTGAGCTCAACTGCAGCAGCTTCTGCAAGCACTGGTACACCTATAAGGATGAAAACAGTTCAAGCCGGTCAGCAAATTCGATTTGCATCACCTGGAGGTACAGTACTCCGCACTGCGTCACCGCAACAAGGCAAGCAAATTATAATTCAAAAACCGGGAGGTCCAAATATTGCTGGCCAGCAAATTGTTCATCTAGTAAAAGCAGGTCAAAATATGGTTGCAGTACCTAAAATGAGTTTGATTCAAGGCAAAACTGTTACAGCAACAGCAAGTGCAGCTGGTACTATCAGCGCAACTGGTACTCAAACTGTTGCTGGAATTAAGGGTACTAATCAAGGCCCGACAATTCTTCGACTTGTAAATCCTAACGCTGTTGGTGGCCAAAAAATATTAACAACGATGAAGTCAACGAATCTAGTGGCTATGAGCAAAGCTCAAAATATCGCTGGGAAACAAACAATAATGATCACGAAACCAGGCGGAAATGGAAATATTGTGACTGCTCGATCAAATCAAATTATTGTTGTAACTTCCGGTTCTAATTTAAGAACTGTTCAAAATGTTACTACTTCACAAGCTGGTTCAGGAACAGGAACAACCTCAATGAATGTTATGCCTCTGTCAGCAACTAATCATGTTGGTGGTAATCAACCGGTCAAAATGATTGTTGTTTCTTCAAGTGGTATAGCTGGAGGAACAGCTGGTAAACCTCTTACAATCACAATGCCCGGACAGGGTGGTAAAACAGTTACCATTGCTAAAGCTGGTACATCAGGTACAATTCTTCATAAAAATCAGCTTATGGCTATGCCTCAATTGCAGAAAGGTGAAGCGTTACATGGTAAGCCTGTAACACTGCAAGTTCAAGGCGGCACCAAGACTTTGACATTAATGCCAACATCTAGCTCCATTGTAAATGCTACTTCTGCAGCATCTGTAGTAGCAGCTGCAACTGCTCCAATAGAGACAGGAATTGATTCAAATAAAGTAGTTCTGATATCACCTCAAAAACAACCATCAGCTACTCTAGCCACTGCCTCTGATGGACCAGCCACAACTGATGCTGCTCTTGCTGCTTTAGCTGCTGAAGCCGGACTTATAGATCCAGTTCAAGAACCATCGGGAGGTTTATCATTCATGATGGCATGTGATAGCCAAGATAAGGAAAGTTGCAATGGTGCAGATACAGCTAACGTTGCTAGCATGGAACCAATGCAAGTTGACGGTGAAATGCCCCAATTAGATGGAGCTGCAGACTATGCTTTCTCTGATGAAGAATCTGAAACAACAGCAAATGAAGAACAACATGAAGAACAACGTGATGAACAACATGAAGAACAACACAATGAACAACATGATGAACAGCCTACTGAAAATGATGATGACCAAATTAATGAACCTTTTGAAGATCAGCCTACCGAAGAGCCAGTTCCTGCTTCAGAACCACAAACTGATCAAGATGTTGATGAAGATATGGCTGCTATCACAGGAGAAGAACCATCTGAAAATCCTGCCCATGATGAAGGCAGCCAATCTGTAGATTCTATGAACGTTGAAGCTATTCTTGCCGGAACTGACACTACAGAGGAGTCTAATGAAAAGAAAATCCCTGAAGAAATTAAAACCAATGACATTGATGAAAACTCAAAAATAGAAGCAGATGAACAAACTCCTGCTGAAAATGAACAAACTGATTCGATTGATGAATTAGCTGCCTTAGTTAGTGACCCAAATACTCCTGTTGATTCTACACTATCTAAAGACGATAAACCCATGGTAGAAATCACCAAAGCTGATGAAATAGAACCCACCCATAAAGAACTTGAAACTAACATAACATCAAATAATGAAGGTACAGATCAAAGCAACGTGGACAAATCTTCGCCGTCGATGCTATTGAAATCTGAAAAAGAAGAAATATCTTCTATAGCTGATTCTGAAGAAGTTGCACCAGAAAATAAACCATCTGCTGCATCCGATTCTCATCAAGAATGCGATAAAATGGAAGTTGATCAAGAGCCTAGCAAAGAGTCAAAAATTAATCTTAAGACAGAATCTACTGAAACGGCGGCAACTTTGGCAGAAGAGAAGCCTCTTTGTATCACACAATCTGAGCAACCAAAATCTAACAAAATTACTCCAGATCTAGTTAAAGTTAAAGTAGAAACAGAATCTGACGCTAATGCAACTATAAATACAGATTCATTGTCTCATGCTGCTCGTAATACTGAATCTAATACAAATAAAGATGTTAAACCAAAAATGGAACGAATAAAAGTTAGTGGTTCTCCAGCTCGCTCAGCACAATCAACAGTACCATTAGCAGCTTCTGCTCCTGTCACTCCTGTTTCTGTTACTTCAAATGGAGTTACTGCTTGTAATAATTCTTCGCCTACGAAAAATACGATTTTATCTATTAAACAAGAAAAACATGACGACAATACTGAAGATTCAGCTGCTTTGACAGCATTGGCAACTGCTGCACTTGGTACAACAGCTCCAACTGCTCAGCCCATTGCAGTAAAGATTAAAAATGATGTAAATATACTAATTATCTTACTTGATATAATTTCTTGATCATTTTTTATACTAACTTTTTTTTTTCTTAGCCCATCGTACCAAAAGAGGAAAAAAATGAATGGTATGATGTAGCAATAACGAAAGATCATACATTTACTGTGCAACACTATTATCTTCCGGGAGAAGAACCATTAGACGCAACAAAAGTTTCAGTTCCTTGTGATGCGTTCAAAGGAAGAATAAAAGTACCTCTGGAACCAGGAACAGCTTACAGGTTCAGGGTAGCTGCAGTTAACAGCTGTGGTCAAAGCCCTTGGAGTGAAGTATGTACCAATACTCATCTTGAAACTTTTATTATACCTAATTCAATTATTAACTGTTTTAACAATTTATTTTTAAAGATATCAGCTTTTAAGACATGTCTTCCTGGTTTTCCTGGAGCTCCTAGTGCTATTAAAATAGTCAAATCATCTGAGGGTGCCCAATTATCATGGGAACCACCAGTTAGTAATTCTGGGCCGATTCTGGAATATTCTGTATATTTAGTGGTACGCAACACTAGTACTGTAAACTCTGAAAACAACAGCGGTGATGTTTCATCAACAACAGCTTCGCAACAGCCTTCATTCATTCGAGTTTACTGCGGTATTATGAATGCATGTTCAGTGCCAAATAAAGCACTTAGTGCTGCTCATCTAGATAGAACATCAAAGCCAGCAATAATCTTCAGAATTGCAGCACGTAATGACAAAGGTTATGGACCAGCGACTCAAGTGAGGTGGTTACAAGGTAATGAAAAATATTCTCAAAGATTCGTTTTTATACAAAACAATATATTTGAATTCAATTGACTTTTTTTTGGTTTTAGATCCATCCAACACAGCAAAACCCACACAGAGTGTTAAAAGACCTGGTTCTCTCTCAACGCCAAGTCCTGTCAAAAAGATCAAAGGAGACACGACGAACGATAATACTTCGTGAGCAACCCACTTTAACGTGACAGCAAAAAGCGTTCGATTTGCAATGTAATTAATCCGTGCATCACCACTGCTCACTCATTGAGTACAACGATATTATTTGTGAGTTTCATGGGTACTTTTGGTACTTTATTGATTATATTAAAGTGTTGAATAGAACTTGTAGTATTCTTAGTGAAAAGTGGATGATTAATAGATGTCTAGAAGCTCAAAAAGCAAGCTAAGAATGAAAGTGACAAACTTTTTTAATAAAACTGAGACTGAATGACTTAATCAAAAATATATATTATACATATATAAATATCTAAAAACTTAAGATTTTGAGCTTGAGTCATTCATGCTTCAGATTATATCGAGAATAATCCGTACTTCCGATGGAAAAATTTAATAACAAGTTTTGATTAAAAATGTCATCGTTCATGTCTGGATCTTATGAATTAAATGAAAAGAGAAAAGCGACAAAATCGCATGTGACAAAGGTGAATAACGGGAAAACATTTATATTAATCTAGCTGTGTACACGATTCAAAATCTACCAGCAGAATTGTTAGTGTCCAAATGTCAGTTTCAAATGAATCTTGTAGTTCTAAAAAAATTGTCTTATTGTTCACAATATAATTTTTCGTCAACATCACCTGAATTAAGAATAAATATACTTTTTTCCTATAAATATAATTGTTATAAAAAATCAGTTTTTCTAAGTGGTATCGTTTTAATAAGTATTTATAAATAAAGATATATATATTGAATTATCAACATTTTAAAAATTTACATTATTAGTGTAATTGTACATTAAGAAGTGAAGGATATTTCAAAAATTTAAATAAGAAAAGTGGATCAATGAAAGAAAACTTACAAATGCATCTTGTGAAAAAAGTATTATGCATTAAATTAAGTGGGAGAATATTCAATTTGGATTAACTTTTTTGAACAAAATCTCTCATATATGTAAATAAATATGATAGAATTAAAGATAACATTCTTTTTTGAATTCAACTTGGTATAGTTGAAGCTTATTTTCGCTAGAATGCATTTTTGTACAAAATTCGTGAATGCTAAATTGGAACTATGTTCATAACATAAACATGTATTTTAGACACAATAGACCATAATAAAAATTGATAACATAAACACATATATACAAATAAGTTTAATTAATAAAATAAGCAAATGGGATAATTGTGGTAATAAAAGTCATAGAGCATGAGTAATGACAATTTTTGTGAAAAAGCACCAAACATTTCAGAATGACAGAAAATATTTAATCTGAGTTTATAATATTTTTATTCATATTTGACAAATCAAGAACTTTGAATTTGCAATAAAATGTTCAACATGAATTTTTACTTGATCATTGATTAATGTGATCACATAAGCATAGATTTAAAATCCAAAGTGTTGAATTTTCTTTTTGTAAAAATAGGAAAATCAAATGGAATTTATACAAATAGATATTATTATTGATCATTTACCAGCATGTTGCATTGTGAAGTTTACTTTTGTTAAAACTCTATTCCTTTGAAAAGTTCGATTTCACTACTTTACTATTATTTTGATGAATGAATTTTGATAGTTCTGGTATCTGGTTGGTGATTAGACGTGAAACTTGGTTTTTAATGGGATCAAATGTATAAAGTAAATTTTCACCCAATCAAAGTTAAAAATTCAGCTATTAAAATTTTGAAAAAAAAAAAGAATAACTAAGCACATTTATAAGTACACATGAAAATGCTATGAATAAATGTCTGTTTTGTATACTTATGTTTTATTTCTAATCTGCACCAATGTAGTTATATTGCTAATATAAATAGGGGGAAAAGTTATATGAAAAATGATGAAATCATTTATGAATTTTACTGCAGATTTATTAATGATATTTATTAACAGGTTGCAGTTATTTTTTAAGTAATATATAAATGTAAATTATAAACAAAATTTAGTTCTAGAAAAATAAATTATTTTTTCGAAATGATTCATAGACGCAAAGGTATGTTTGGCCAATACTGTGGTTTAGTTTTATCCTTATGCCTATCAATTGTTGTCTGAAGAGCTGTCTCCATGCCCAAAATTTTAGAACTTGCTTCACCATAAAGTAAGCGAGCATCTTTGAGTTTATTACTGATCCGATTCACTCCAATATCAATTTTTGTTTGGTCTTCATTATTTGCAGCTAAAGTGTCTTTATTTGCTTCTTTTTGGTTTTGTAATTCTTTTTTATGTTGAATGCTCTGTGCTAAAAAGTTCATCATATCTTCATTCATACAAAATTGTAAGTCATCTTCGATATGTTCGTTATCATCATCATCCATATAAGCGGATTCGAAGGTTTGGTGAACTTGTTGGCTCTGCATGTTTTGGCAAGGTTGAGGAAAACTCGTGATATCCGCTTCAGGATGCTGTCGCAATCTTCGAATGGTCTCTCTAAGAATATGATTCTCGTGCTCTAAAGCGAAACATCTAGTTTTCCACCAAGTAACATTGTGCTTCTTTTGCCATTCATGAGCTGCATCGTAATTCTCCCAAAATGCACTTGCTTCCATGGCATAAGGGCTATTGCTTGAAGACGGTTCAATTTTTTTACAGGTAAAACTTTGCTGCTCGTTGTTATTGCTACTGGACGCTGGCGTCGTTACTGCAATTTTCTGATGTCTCGCGTACTTAACCTCACATTTAATTGCATCGACTCGTTGCCGTCTTCTTCGACTCTTGTTACTGATCAGGGCACGTTTACGCTTGCGTTTTTTCTTATGTCTCGTACCAATGAATTCCATAACTGAAGATTTCGATAATCAGTCAGAACGGTTGATTTTTTGGCAGTGCCACGACCAAGCCATCTCTTGAATTTATTTACATTGTCGTTTTAAATTTGTATAATCAAGCTGAGAAGCCAGGTGATACTGATGGAAGGGCTGAAAGACAAGTATAAGTTATAAGATCAGGATCCTTATTATTTTATATACAAGGAAAATGAGATCAGGAGGATTGAAAAATAAAATTGGCTTGTCACACTACTTTCGTCGGTCAGGTGTGACTTAAAATGTTTGCAAATACGTACCGATACTTTTTGTAAGTATCTCACGATCATAAATATATTTAATTATGAAATTAAAACAATTTTCATCTCGGAATCATACTAAAAAATACGGTTAGTCAATAAACCTGGTCGATAGTTGCGAGACACAGAGTGTACTGCGCTAATAACTAATTTGAAGCAGACAGCAGACTAAAAAACTTGGCAGAGGTACTTGCGCTGGCGCAGCTGCAGAATGCGAGATTCGCGCGCACGTCACCTGCACTTCTTTGCAAGCATGAAAATACAAAGCACTGAATACGTGAAATCTTGTTCATAAGATTATCGCCTAAAATCTGAGAGGTTAAACAAAGATTAATATTATTAATAGAATAAAATGAATCGTTAGAAAAAAATGAAAAATTTACCATAACTTACGATCAGTGCGAGTGCGAAGGAGCGTGACTGCACTGCAAGTGGCAGCGCGCCGCACACATTTACTTCGCAGCCGCAAGTTGCAGCTTGCAACGGATCAGCCAGTGGAGCCGCGCAAAGCAGCAGTTGAAGCGCGACACCCGTGGCGTTCGCTTCGTGTCGCATGTCGACATCTCGACGAATGCATCAGTGCTATGTAAAAACAAAAACTCGTGTAAAGTTACTCGACATCTCAAAGTGTTCGCAGTTGGAGATAAATTGCATAAAAATAAAAAATGAATGGCCATAAATATATGCAGACGGCTTCGGATCACTGAAGATTCCCTCCAATGTGTTTCATCCAACAGTAGAAACAGCGACCGCAACAGTGTCGATGCGATAATTTTTTAAGTCTCCTACAGTCGTAAGTTGTTTTACATTATAGTGTTAAAAAAAAGCCAAAAACACCGCTCAACTGTTCTGTCCCACGAATTCCTGCGATGCCTCTTTTTTTCGCTCTCCTATAGATGTAGCATGTACAAATGCTCAAAACAGGCCGTATAACGCGCGCTCACGCTTTTACCCGCAAGTGTTGTGTTCAAAAGCACGTTTGATTCGTATACGCTCGACCGAACTTTTTTCGTCGGCGGTACAAAAAGACGGAGCGAAATTTTAATGCATTGTCGTAAGCGCGTGCGTATAGGATTTTAGCGAGCATTTTTCAGTCTCGAAAGTCATGCCCGAATTTTCGTTCTAGCTACGCTGGTGCAAACATTGTTACAATTAATCATTGCATTTAATGCAGATGTGCCGGAGCCAGAGTCGACTAACAACTAACACCAACGACCATGTGTGTGTGGAGCTTTTTCCAATTCGCCGGAGCAAAAATGAGGGCGAAACGTTATCAAATGTGTAAATGAATTCGCGCAGCAGTCTTTGAGCTAAAAAACAAAAGTAGATGACTGAAACGACAAAAAAAAAGATTTGCAAGCGTTAAAACTCGTTTTTGTCGTCGCAATAGAAAAGCCTCGAATTAGATTGAAAATTCTAAATGGCTTTGATTTTGATTTCATTACTATTTTCTATCGATTGTCAAAATTTGAATTTTGATGTAAGTAATTATCTCCAGTTTTGAATAACTAGCCGTGAAATTTTAATGTCAGCTTTCGTATTAACGAATGGTTGAATTTTCGAATCCAGTCCATTTCGTAATTAGTATGACTAGATTAAACTTAACGGGTCATAGTCGATAGCAAAAGGATGTTGTGGAAAATAAAGCTCACGCGCGTGGGTGTCAGGTATAGATGGCAATTCTCAACGGACGTTGTAACAAACCATTACTCGAATTACAAGTAAGGGAACAATTTGAAAAATATGGCCTAGATTGAAAAATTTAGCGTCGATTAAAAATTCCAGAAAAGAGAGAGAGAGAAAAAAATGATGAAAAAAATTGTTGCATCGCAGTTAATAAATGTAAAAGCTTCGGTGAGTAAATTTCTCGAACGCGGGCTAAAAGTAGTGCATACATTTTTAACGTGATAATATAGAATAATGCAGCAAAAAACGTAGGCTCGTTGTATCGGTTTATAGGTGCACTCAGCCCGTCAGAAGAAATCGAAAGAACAGAATGGCCCGTAGATAGCACGAGTCGATGCGTAAAGCTGCATGTCGCGCTATATCAACACTTACGTCTTATACACGATTCTTATGTATATCAGTAATTTATTATACAGGTATAAGCTTGCGGAAAGCTCGAAGCTGCATGATCCTACATAGGCCGCTACTCACGTAAGGTACTCGTGAAGGATGACACTATATAGGGCGCAAGATGAAGCGTGTAATGGTCAGTTTTTCAGATTCGCTCGCTCCATCCCAACTTGCTCTATACTCACTCCGCGCGGCAATGCCGCACATTCTTGCACTTTGTCAGTGCGCGAAAAGCCGAGAGTCGGAGAAAGAAAACTCTCAGTCTCTCTTTTCTCTCTGATCTCCGGGGACTCGTTTTGACACATATGTGTACGTGTGTGTGTGTGTGTGCGTCATCTTAAAAGCGACTTTTCTTTCTTTTTGCCCTCGTGCGCGCGCGCGTTTACTTTATCTCGCTATGCACTTTCTCTTCTCGAAATGTTTTTTACTCCCTTTGCCTCCCTCGAAATCCATGCCCCAGCCGTGTGCTGCTCTATGTACACGAGTAAGTATGTGTGCGTGCACATCTCTCCGGCATTATTTTACTTTGCAGATTATATTACGTAATAATGTAAAAGTAGCTATATCTGCGCCGTCTGAGCAAAGGAACGATTGTCGACTAACTTTTTCTTCTGTCTCATTTTTATAGAAATATTCATTTGCAAGATTAACTACGGGCAACGGTGTAGTGCTGGTTGTCACGGGCTGCAACAGTAAAGTTACGCGCGGCAACAGCAGCAGCGGCATTTCATCATGATAAAGAAGAATGAAAAACGATTGTGAGCATATATAAAACGCGCATCTGTGAGGCGGCATTGACGCTCCAAAGCTTTTTATATGAGAGATAATCATGATGGATCCTTGAGGTATTAATTTTCCAGCGGCGCCAGCGAATGGATGGAACGGTAAAAGTGAAGAATTGTCTGCCCCCCACCCGGCCTCCCCCCGTATCCCTCGTAAACGAGCAGCTGAAAAAAGCACAATAATCGTATTCGCAAAAGTAAATACCGCAGAGAAGCTCGAGGATCGAAGCTCGCGTTGACCACCGGCGTGAAGAGAATAAAACCAAGCGGCGAAAATGGCGATGGTCATATCGCCGCGGGGTAAAATCGTCACGTTGACTCTGCTGCTGATGATAGTCGTGCTGGTGGCCCTCACGATTGTCAGCGTCACCTTCATGAGTACACCCAGCGAAATCAACGATAAACGATCGCTCGATCTCACGACCATCGATGACAACGTCGACTCGAAACTGTTTAAGAATCAACGTTATTACACGGACCATCGCCAACTGGTGAGTTTATCGTATTTATTTTACGAATGCAAACTCCAATTGGGCCACGAGTGCAATTTTTTGCATGCCACTAATTTTAAAGAGCGCGAAATATTCAACGATTCTCAAAGACGAACACCTTTTAACTTTTCATCCGAAACGGGAATAAAAAGCTCGAGAAAGTCGTATCTCTCTATAGCTGCGTTAACTTAGTCGTTTCGCACTAGAGCTATTATCTCTCAACCAGAAGCAACAGTCAGCAACAATTCTATTACGACGATCAAAATTCACGAGCGTTAAAATATTCAAGTGGCGGCGCGCGAGATGCAGCCGCGTGCATTTAACATCCATGTAAATGGAAAATTATGACGAAAGGAGTATGCTTTCAAGGGAAAACGCCCACAACACTATATTACATAGATATACGCTGGAGCTCGATGAAAAAAATGAGAGAAGCTGCCTCGAGGAAATCGACTAACGCGTTACGCTCGATCGAGCTGTCCTTCTGCCATTATTAAAATAAAAGACTATTTTTTCGTTCGCTTATTTTGCTTTTGAAAAAGACGAGATTTCTCGGTCTACCTTGGCCGAAGCGCGCGAAAACGGTACCTTTTTTCGTCGTCCGGCACGCAAAAAACAAGAAAATAGCTCGGGACGTTGCGCTGATCGGGCAAAATCCAGTTAGAAGCTTGGCTTTTTTATGGATCGACAAAATATACATAACACCTTTCCCTGCCGCGTCGTTGATAAGGTATCAGCTTATTGCCAGAACATTTTCATAAATTCTTGTCTCTCGCTCCCTTTTACGGGCGTGCACAGCCTTTTTCGCTCGCCGCCGCTTGTATACTCGGGCCCTCCTTTTTTCCTCGAGCTTTTATATATTATAATAAGAGCCCGCACGGAGATTCAAATTTCTACGGAAAACTCAAGGACCGAAGAAAACGCCTCGTGCAGCACAGTATTATTATCTTTGTTATTATTTTCAATATTATAATTAATTTGAATATTATTTTTATTAGTAGTAATGGCAGCTTTAAACAACCGTAGACATCTTCATATCTTTGTTTTTAAGTCGTCAAATTGACATTGCCGTGATTAAAATCACTACATAAGTAATCTTCATAAAAGCTATTATAATTGCAATTTCACGAGAAACAGCTTTCATCTGATTAATTTTTTTTCTTCGCGTAATTTTTCTTTCATCGAAATCTTAAACAATAGGCATTATTAGTGCGATGGGCGCACAACTTCTGGAACGAAGCAATTATTCCGTTGCACTTTGGAAATTCAAGAAAAAGTGAATAATCAAGTGTCTACAATAACTTACACATATTGGTAAACGCGGCACATAGGTACACATCGATTGAACGGCAAAGAAAAACATACGTATAATATTGAATCTGATGTTCATTATTTCTTGGGCGCGGAAGCTCGACGTTGGAAAGAAAAAGTTATAACACAAATAACTCGACAATCCACCGGTGTACTGTTTCGTGTATCTCGGATTGCGTATCGACTCCAACGCGTATACGTGCATAGAGCCGTGTACTGTGCGTGCGCCTCTGTGTCGGAGTATCCACGATTGAATTCGATAGATTCCAGGCGCTTTCGCGCACGTTGACGATTGCGCTGCCGTGTAGATATGGAAAATTCAATTTTCCTTTTTAAAAAGATGCGCGCGAGTCAAAAGAAAATTGAGATAGCCCGCAATGGTGGAGCAGCAGCGGCATATTCATACATGTAGCACACGAATGCACGCATAGAAAACTCTTTGCGGAAATTAGTATACCGCAAGTTCCAAGTTATTAGTAACTATGAAAATCTCAGAACTTTTATCGATACGTATAATGCACTGGAAACATAGTATTGCAAGGCACTAACTTCGTAATGATGGAAAATTGTTTCGGTAAATCGCGTTACAATGCAATTAATTTTATCAATAATGTACAGGGATCTTCTTAGGGCTGATGAATGATTTCTATACCTTCATTTTACTTACCTTGAATTTGCCTTCACAGAAGGTTTTTGCCAAATTTTAATTTACAATGAGTTACATTTACGTATGACGATTTTGCGCTTTGAAACCCGCATTGCAAGATGTTTTGTTGAACGTGCTGCATCTGTGCGAAAAAAATGTTACAGAATTTAATTTTTCACAGAAAAACAGAAAACGAATGTAAAAAGAAAGTTTGATACACTTGTATAAAAAAGCTCCATCGCACTGATAAAGCTGTTACCCTCGTTTTACCAACGAGTCAAAATACACCTTTTGGGCGGACCTAAAAAAACTTTGGAGCTTTCATGCATATACTTCGAAAAATAACTAATTTCTCGAAATAAGAATCAAATGCAAACTCTCGTGATAATTTCTTATTATGCAAACACAAACACACACACACACACACACACACACAAAAGGAATAGTATTTTTATCGTAAATTTAACCGATATTCCCTTTTCCCCACCATTCATGCCGTATCAATTGCAAGGAAAACTTTTATCAAATTATAAATGCATGAAGATATAAAAGCGTACGACCACTGAGACGAGTCACGGTATACGCTAGTTTCACTTGACAATACATGTATTGAATAAAGTATGTATTTATATTTATATATATATATAGGTCATCGTATTCGCCCAAGGCAACGCGCGCCGAGTTTTGATGAAAAAAATTTAATGGAATTTATCGAGGCAATATTGGGGCTTCGTTTAATGTAACGCTGGACCACCGTATATACACACATTATATATAACGCGCAACATGCAGCTCCGCGTAAAAAGATGAAGGAAAAAAAAGTTTTTTCCTCGGGACTACTGACTGCGAGCACATTGTTTAAAATATACACTGCCAAGAGATATAAACAGTAAACACGATTTAAAGACTTTTATTATAAATTTAGCGTGTATTATATATCTGGATATAATAAAATGCGAATAAGATTGGAAAAAAGTAAATTAATCAGTACACCACTGGAAAAATACTCAACTTTTAATCGATTTAAACAGGACAGCATCGGAGTTGCATTTATTTGTAACCTTTGCATGATATTGATCATTTGAAATATTAGTCATTTTTCGTATCAAAGTAAACATACTTATTTATTTTAACAGTACATTTAACAGCTTTTTAATATAATATGTTAATTCAAAATTGGTTTCATGCAAAAATAACATTTTGCAATCATATTAAATTTTTTATATTTATGCTATAGATCTTTAAAAAATACTGGCATCGAAATTGAAAATTGCGCACAAAGTCATACCAGAAAAAATCAACATCAGAGCTAGTGTCTATTTTTCTTATACTTATTTTTTTCTTAGAAAAAGCTTGAACCGTGCGAGAAAAAAAATTGAATAATAGTTGGTATGTGGATATGAATATTTGCGCGGTAGGTATAATGCTGGCGAAGTAGCGCCCCAGTGACTCGGATGATTTTATTTGGTATAATTTTTCATCCCGCAGTGATACCTCTGTCTCTGGAAGGGACGAGCGGTAGAGAGGGAGAAGAGGAGAAAAAGACTCTCGATGCAAAATTCCTCGAATGTCTTGAGGCGCAGTTCGGCACTGAGATTTGATGGGTTGTACTGCATGCAACTATATCGATGTACCATTATACATATAAATACATATCAGTGAACACATATAGTAAAAGCGAGATATATTTGCATGTACAGGCATTATTTATAGTGAAATGAATTTTTATTAGGTATTAAAAGGGCCGGGCCGCTGTAGCTTTTAGCTCAAAGAACTTATCATGGTAATTCGAGGTTTACTAAAGATGAATCAGATCTTTTTCACAGACTTTTTTCTCATTTTTGCGTAAGCTAAATAATTTGAAAGCGAATTCGAATCTTAATTAGAGTTTTCTTTTTAAAATCGACTCAAGATTTAAGAAAATTATTCTTGCAAGGAAATTCAAATGATTCTAGGATAAAAATCAGCGAATATCCGATAGTTTTGATGAATTACAAGCTGGCATCCTGCGAGATACAAATATTTTCAGCATCGAATAGCTGGCGTATCAGTCTCGTTTCAGAAACTAGATTTACACGGTCGTGTTTTCGCGATTCGCTGAGCCGCAAAACGACAATTATATCCTTTCTAAAAGCAGCGAGTCAGTCGGATTTTTCGTGCGTGTCCCTCTTCGTCGCCGCTCGAATATCACGGGCACGTACGTACGTACGCCGCGAGCAAGCCCGAGCTTTTTAATATCTGCTCACTGATACCGCGCATAACGTGTATATTCCTTTCTGTGGCCCCTGCGCTGTAGGAAATGAAATTTTCAACTGGGCCGAAGATATACACGCGCGCGCGCAAGATACAAAACACCCTTGACATTTGGTAAATGTGACAGTGATTTATGAAAAGACTTTATTTCGAGCATCGGAAAAAATGTACACGCGCGCATAACTTTTCTTGGGTGCTGAAATTAGTGATAGTGCTCGACGGAGCACGACCAAGCACTGGCCGCTAATTTTTCAATTTCCACTCTGGGGCGTCGCGACGATTCATCACAATAAATAATAATATTATCTTTCGCTTACGACGCGGCATAAGGTGTATTATATATTATCTCACAAATTGAATAAACACGTTGGGCTGGGTCAGGAGCATATAGCAGCTAGGTATATAGCCACTCGGCGACGTATATATTCGGTTTGTGGCAGTCGAATGTGCGCACACATGTATACACATACGACAACACACTGTGGCTATTTACCAGCAGTTGCGCATGTATTTTTAGTTTTACCCATTGTGTGGGCCAAGTGCGTCTCTGTGTGTATCTGTGTGTGGTTACTAGCGACAGCCTGATTTGCACACACACACAAGCATATACGCACGTGTGCATATGATTAATTCCTTGGTATTGTCGTTAGCGCTGAGCTTACTCGAGCTTTTCGCGTTTATGTAGCTCGTGCCCACGCGCCCGTTTATGTTTGACAAATCAGCAGTTGCCATGTGCGTGCGGAGCTCGATATAAACTTATGCGATCGCTTGGCCTTCGTGTTTATTATTT